CTACCGTCTCTCCCCTCTTTACATTCTTTATTTTTATCTGCCCTCCTCTGCCTTAGCCCTCACTCCCCCACCCCCAGCTCACAGTTTCAGGGTCTCCCTTTTATGTCTGGTATCTTCCTCGGGGCTACGTGACGTGACCCCCCAAAGTAGCGTGGCACTTGCTTTTCCTGTGCTTCCAATGTCTCCTGAGACTGAGAAACAGCAAGGAAAGCAAATGAAGTTGTAAAGCCAAACACCCTAAGACAGAGAGACGAAGGCCCCGCAGAGCTGCGCCAGCGAGAGGAGTTTACGGAGGGATGATCATTCTTGTGCGATAGAGGCCAGCACGCGTGAGGCTCCCTGAAGACACCGCGCTGCGCCTGAGACTGAAGCGACACTGGAGGCGGCTGCTGCAGGCCTCCCGCAGCCCAGGCTCAACGACGCCGACCAGCGTCATTACCCAGAGACGGCAGAGGCTACAGAGATGCACTTGGCCCAGTGGTGGCCACAGCGGCCCCAGTACCTCGCTGGCCTTGCACACACCTCTGCGTGCCTGTGTCCGTCCCTGTGGCTGAGGGGAAGGTGTGCTGTGTGTCTTTGGATCTGGGCAGGCGATGCGTGTCTGCCACATGTGCATCTGTTCACGAGTGTGTGTGTGTGTGTGTGTGTGTGTGTGTGTGTGTGTGTGTGGGGCTATCGAGTGGTTCTGGTGTGTGGGGTGGGTGTACATACCCACATGTGCGTAAGTGTGTACGTTTAACGTGAGAGAGCACATTTGACGTTTGCGCGTCTAGTGAATCTGGAAAGCAGGAAGTGGCTGAGTATCTACTCGTGTCTGGGTTTGAGATCTGGCCTTAGGCCACCCACAGCCGAGTTACTCACGCCTAACGGGGACTGAGCGGCTCATCCTCATTCCCTCACTTCCTCCGTCCCAGCATTAATAAGACCCATCCTTCACTTTTGTGCTGTTCTGTAGAAAGCACAGATGCTATCACGTGCAGTTTCTCATTTCCTTCTGGAGACGGAGAGGACAGGAAAATTATCCTCCTCGGTGGATGAGAAAATCTCCCTCAGCCCCATCTGTCCTGCCTCGAGGAAGGCAGCTCTGGCCCCCCGGCTGGGGCTCACCGTGCTGCGCGCCCACTCCTCACGCCTCCTGCGGGGGTCCTGGTCAGGCGTCTCCCCTGTTCTCCTGCACCTTCCCCGCTTTAACTGATGAACTTCTCCCCGTTTCTCTCGTTTCCTTCTATACCAAAGTCCACACACACACACACACACACACACACACACACACACAAGGTTGTTCTTTCTAAAACCATCAGTCACTCGCTCATTGTCAAGCCCCGCAGCCTCCTTACAGCATCCACCCTTTGGAAGGGACCACTGCGTGGCGTGGCGTGGCGTGGCCAAGCATTCCTCCCTTGAAAGCCACACCTCTCAGTCCTTCTGGTTTTCCTCCTTTTTCTAACTAACCTTTCTGTGGCCTTGGCTGACCTTTTAGAAACCCATCGAATGGTTGGGTTTCCTCCCTTTTCCCTCTTTCCATAATCTCGGTGGTGTCAGCTTCTCCATTCCTTCCAGCTACTCTTGTACGTAGGTGACCGTGACATCTCTTGTTCCTCTCTCACTCCTCAATGCAACTCCGTATTTGCCCTCTGGGACCTCTGTGGCATGCCCCACAGGACCCTCACAGTCAGCGGACCTAGTGTACCCCCATCTTGCCCAGAACTGATTTTTCCTCTCTGCTCACTTGGTAATGGCAACGTTAGAAGGCAGAGAATCCTAACACAGATCTCGTTTACCATGGTGTTCAGTTGTCTCCCACGCCCTGCTCTTCTGCCTTCGAGAAACATCTCTTGCATTGGCCACATTCTGTTTATGTCTTGTTTTTCCCTGAGGTTATAGCCATAGCCTGGTGCCTTCAGAGACTTCACACAATGGATTGACAGATAAAACACACACACAAACACACACACACACACACACACACACACACACACACACTCAGTGGTACATTAGCATGGTTATACACATGTACGGTATATAGACAACGGTCAAATCAGATATGATGGCTCCTACATGGTCCCAGTCACACACAGGCACGTGGCTTAGGAGCACACAGCCAAACTCATTAGCACAGACCTGAGCGAAGGTGGACATGGACACGAATATAGAGGCAGACACTCGCTGACCAACACATGGACTATGAGTATACACAGAAATCACAGACAAAAACAGAAGCAGAGCCATGGACCTAGAAACTCAAAGTCATGAACAAATATTCACTGAGATTCCTCCTGATGTAAGGCAGAAGTTGAGAGTCAGAAGAAGCAGGATGTCCTGACACCAGAATTTCTTTAAGATGTGCCCCATGGCGGGGTCAGAGAGTCACATGCACATAGAGGTATCTCTACCATTAGTCGTCTCCACCCTGCCCTGCCTTATCCATTCCAGACGCTGTTTCCAAGGCTCAGAGCCTCCTGCTTCTTTTCTTGGGCACTTTAGATTCAGGGGTAACACAGTTGTGCTTGTGGCTGCACTTCTGGGATGCTGTAAGGGTCAGGGAAACGGACGAGCAGCTCAGGGCTCGATTAGCTGGTGGGCTGGGAGGACACCAGAGCAGGGAATGGGGACGCAGGGACCTGACCGCTCTGCGCTCCCATGGAAACACAGCAAGTGCTTTATTACAAACTATGAAAGGTTTGTTATTGATGACATAGTGCTTTTTTTTCATTACTGCGGACGTGTTTGCACATATGCCGTCATAATGCACTGAGCTCTATGTTTGCTCTGCGATAGAGCCTAATTACCAATACCTTACATTCGTGTAAGACTTTAAATCTTTTCAAAGTGCTTTCCTAGACCATTCTCTCGTCTGAAGCTCGAGATGTTTTTTATTGTGAGTGAGATTCATATAATGCACACATTTTACATATTTTCTATTCTTTTGCCATCCCTAAATAAACCAACAGAATCTTCACACAGGTTAGACATCACTTTTGTATAAATATAATCCACTCTGTTATTGTCTTCTCCTTGTCCTAGCTCTCTTTCTCTCTGCTGTTTTGTGGGTTCGGTTTCTTTTGGATTGTTGGTTGGGTTTTTTGTTTGCTTGTTTGTTATACCCTTCTTTCTTTTTCTTCTTACTGATTTATATATATGTATACACAGACTCCAGTTTTCTGTCTTTGCCTGCATATTGAGTCTTTTGTCTTCCTAGAAAACAGTCTTTTATTTTGACTCTACCATTGAGATTTTGATATTTTTCTATGATCAATATAGTGTATATAAAGTAGAATGCATCTAATATGGTATTCTATATATCCCTACATTGTTTGTCTGAAATATTCTCTCTGCTAGCTAGATGAAGTTAACAGCTCTTATGTAACCGCTCTGAACTTTCTTCCCTGGTGAAGGCAGGATAAAATTTATTTACTTGGGAGGTTTGTTGCAAATATTAGAGCTGACACATATATAGTGCCTAGCACATTGGTAATATATTGTCATTACAGTAGTTTGTGGTAGTGATGGGGAAGGCAGCGGAGCAATGATGACAGTGATTGGAACACGGTCTTCATGACTGCCTTATTGGTAACGGCCTAAGAGTGTCTCCTGCTAATGGGCCCAGATTTAACCTTGTCTTTACTGTTGAGCATTTGTGTTGTTTTCATTTTTCCCTTTATAAATCATGTCTTACTAAACTTCTTCTTGTATGCAGTTTTATTCTTCTTTTGAATTTAGCATCTGGATGCATTCCTAAGAGCTAAATTACAGAGTAAAGGGATATGTACATTTGTAAGGCTCTTGATAAATATTGCCTAATTGCTTACCACAAGGGTGCTATCAGTTTATACTCCCACCAAAATCAAGAGAAAAACTGTTTACAGAAGCTTTCAAAATCTTAGCTTGTTTCCTTTTGATTTTTCTTATGTAAATTTTCCTGTAAAACTATAACACACACACAAACATACACACACACTCACTCTTTTATGGGGCCATGGGGCTAAAAATGGTATGGAACTATCATTTATCACGTGATTTTGATGGGAACCTGTTATCAACTTTAAAGATGCTTAGTTCTGATGATACAGAAGATAATTTTAATTAGTATGTGGCATTAAAGAAGATTGGTTTACATGTTGAAAATGATAATCTGTTTTCAATTCTTTCAGTCCTCTGATCAGATCAAGGAGAAAGCCTCAGTTCGGTGTTTACACCCCTTAAACACATCTCTAACCTTTTCTTACCTTTTAAAAAGAGGAAATTTCTTCTTTATAGGCAACAGTTTTTAGCTTGAATTTAATAACATCATTTGGTCTCCAGTATGTACATTTTTATGTTTTCTATCTTTTTTCATAAAGTGATACTGGTGCTTTATTTAAAATAATGATACAAAGTTTTCATTTTGAACACATTTGTTTAATTAAAAATGTGAGTTACAGATAGAACAAAAACCCTGACAGTGTTACTCCAATGATTGAAATTGGGATGTATTACTTGGAGAATGCATTCCAACAGCTGCCCCAGAATACATGTTCCTTAGAAAAAACATTAATTACAAGGCTCCGTGATGCCTGACATAGTTTGGAGCTTTGCGACTGGCCCTTCATCCCTATTTATTTGTGACTGTAAGGGCCTTGCATTCGTCCATGAATCAAATTGCTTTCATATCCAGTGTATTCTCTGGGTTCCTGACCAAGTGAGTAATCTACTTGCTTGTAGGTTAAGAACAGTAATACACAAGCAAGCACTGAAGGATGTATAAATCAAGAGTGACATTGTCAATAGAGTGATTCAGAAGATGGGATTAAATAGCTTAATGATAGTCATTGTGAATCACAGTGTCAGCTTTTGTATAATTCTAATGATGTACTTGGTAATGCTAATGAGGTTTGATAGAATAAAATTAACAATGTCCAAACAGCTGTATGCTTTCACAACAAAGGAACTGTATCTCAGAGCAGACTGATACATCCTTTCCATGGGAGATTTTAGTCAACTTATTTTGTTTTCTCTTTTAGGATATATTTAAATTTGCAAGAACTTCTCCCGTCCCAAGACAAAAGAGGTCCATTGTGGTATCTCCCATTTTAATTCCAGAGAATCAGAGACAACCTTTCCCAAGAGATGTTGGCAAGGTAAGTCAGACAAAGGACAAATGACAAAAGCATGTTTTTATTAAGAGTTGGGCACACATAAGGTTAGCTGACTGTGACCATCTTGGTAACCAACTGGAATTGGTCTTAATTCCTTTAAAAGTCCAAATGATTTTATCATGAAAAGAGTTTTGAAAGATCATCCAACAACAACAAAAAAAGGAACATGGAAAAAACAATAACAGCTTTCAATATCATGATTTGGAGATCAGTGTGGTATATGATGCTGAAGTTATGCAGGAAGATGTCATTGGTTAAGAAATAGACCCATTGCTTTTACAGATTCTATCCAGGAGATCAGCTAGATAGGGCCTCCTAGGATAGAAGTATGTTGATATGTGGTCTTTATTGATATCCTGTTTTTCAAATATCAGTCCAGGAATAGCACTGGGTTAGCTTTCTAAAGACTAAACCAGATCAAGGAAACTAAATCATACTAACCAGATCCAGAAAACACTGTCAGATGAATCAGAACAACAGCTTTTCCAGGAAGAAATAGTCATTGTTAAATGGGCCAAAATACTGATATTGCCTTATCAATATATTCTCTTCCTATAGTAAGGTCAACAAGGAGAATAAAATTTTGCCAACTTGTATTTTTTGGTGAACCTGGAATTTGAACAATGGTGGTTAATTGAATGATCTTAATGGCTGGTGCTATTGGACTATTAATTAATTCATTAAGTAAATATGTAGTACCTGTTATATACTGGGCTTCAAGCTTGGGGCTGGGCAAATATAGCTGTGAATAAGCACACAATAGAGCTTATATTCTACTACGTAGACAGACAGTTCCAGAAGTAAATATGTAAACAAGAAAATGGCAGAGTGTGAAAACTACTGTGAAAAATAGAAACAGAGGGATGTGGAAAAAGAGCAAATGGCAGGGTCATAGGCTGGAGGGAGGAGGTAATCTTTGCACAGATGGCTGGGGTGGCTGGTCAGAGTTATTAACATGTGAGGGGAGATGGGAAGGATGAGAAAGGCACAGCCATGGAAAGATCTGGGTAAACATTCTGGACAGAGGGAGCTTCACATGCAAAGGCCTGGAGGTGCAAAAGAGTGGAGCACATTGGAATAGCGGCATGCCTGGGTGGCTGCAACACAGTGAGCACAGTCTGGAAAGCCTTGAAGTCAGAGATGCCAGCCAGTCTTGGAGGCTGTGGTGAGGAGCAGGGATTTCATCATACAAGGAGCAAAGTCTGCCCAAGAGAGTGTGTGCTTTGAAAGACCCTTCTGGCTGCCTTGCAGAGAATGTTTTGTTGGAGCAGAGCAATAGAGAGGAGGTTTTGCTAGGAGTCTGGACAAGGTGGCATGAACTATTAAAGATCTATGTTTAATTGAAAATTAGAAGTAATAATTCAGTATCCTGGCAATCACTATATTTATTATTTTCAACTGCCCCTGTGCAAAAGATGCCTTTCTTTAAGCAAAATCTTTGCAGGAGTCTAAGATATGATACAAAAGGAAGCAGAGCTGCTCCAAGTGGACAACTCTGTCCTGTTAGACAGCCCTAGCCACTGTGATGGCCCTTGTCTAGACAGGATTCCTTAGAGCCAAGGATGCCACTTGTCAAGGGACCAGAGTCCCCACTTCTTCAAAGCTCTGCCCCAATTTCTGATGCATTCTTGTTTTTAGGTCCCCTTTAGGTAAGCTTGTGCTTCTCAGCTCTTACAATGCATGAGGATCACTAGAGACACTTAAAAATGCATATACCAGGTCTCCGCCCTGAGAAATTGATTCAACTGGCCAGGGAGCGTGGACCATGCATCAGCATTTTTTAAAAATCCCAGATGATTCTGATATACAGCCAGGGTTGAAGACCACTGGTCTAAACGAATCCTTCTCCAAGAGTGGCTATGGACCAGCAGCACCACCATTGCCTGGGAGTTTATAGAAATGTATATTTTCAGGCTCTTCCTCAAAACCACTGAACCAGAAACTCTTGGGTTGAGGCCAGGAATCTGTATTTTTATATACCTTCCAGGTAATTCTGATGCACCCTCAAGTGCACAGAGGGCTGGTCTAAAATGTGTTCTCCTCCCTGTCCTACCACTAACACATAATACTTTCTTTTCAGGATTGGAGTTGCAATTCCATTGATTAGGTTATAATAAGGGAGAGTATATATTCTGGTTGCCTGGAAAAATCCCAGTTTACAACTGTTGTCCTGGCATAATTATGATTAGCAACACCTTTCCTGCTTAAACATGTCCAGATTTGGGGACTAAATTATGTGTCCATCCTACAATTTTCTTCAATTTCACACATTTTCCCCCTGAATATATTGGGATACTTTTCACAAGCCTCTTCCCTTGAGCTACTGAATGAGTTAATAAGCATGCAGCTAACTAGTGACATTTTTCTGCATCGTTCATTACTTGTTACAGCCTCAAAAGGCAATTTTGTGTTCAAGCTGAGGAGTCTTCTCTTCTTTGCCCCTTATGTATTGCCCGCACTGGCTTTCAACCTAAATTCTCTATGAAACAACTGCTTTTCTAAGTGTAATAAGCTATGAATGACACAATGTGCAAGAATCTCCCAAACCTCGAGATGTTTGAGGGGTTTTTGTTTGTTTCTTTTTTCAGAATGCCTCACAAAAACTATTTGTTCATACTTCGTATGCCTTTGAAGGAACATGTTTTCCTTTTTGTGCCTGCTTGTTTTAATTCATTCATCTTACTCTTTTCTTTATATCTTTTATCATATCCTTATCAACTCCCCCATAGCTGACCAGCTGTATTCTGCAGAGCTGTAGGAGAGGATAGAGGCATCTTCAGTGAGTGCTGGGGAGGTGAGCAGAAGGGAAAGAGGACCACAGAGGCAGGACTCTGGCCTCCATGTATCACCGCTACCTAAGTCAGGGCACCTCTAATTTTATAAATATTGCCTAGTAGATTTTAGCACAGAATGCCATTTGCAGAAGAGGTTCTGTGGCTCTAAAAGTAAAAAGACACTTATCTTTCTTTGGCTTACCCCAGAAGTGAATCTTGAGGCAAGAATTCAAATGTAGCAAGTTCATTTAAGAGGTGAAGGAAGTAAGAAAGTGAGGTAGGGAAGGGAAGGCAATCAACTGAGGAGCTTGTTTATCAAGCCAGCTACCACTGTGGGTGACTGGATTGGAATTTCATGGGGAAACTATAAAAATGGCATGAAACACACTCTCAGCGTTGTCCCACCCACAGGGGAGGATGCTGGGTTACTTACCTACTTGCTGGGGTATTTATACACCCAGCAGACACTAGTTGAGGGCTGCATCCAGGGGTGAATGCCCAACACCCTTCTGAGCTTTGGAGGAGAGCCTTGAGGCCAAAGAGATGCTGTACAGCAGCTGTAAGTCTGCTGCTGAGCACACGGAGGATGAAGTCTAGGGATGGGGACAGGGGACTGATGGATTCTGCTCCATCACTAAAACTGGTATAAATGTTAATACTTTTGTGTTATTGGGTGGCTTTTCACTATCATTGTCTCATCCTCCTCTCCCACTTCATTTGCTGAGCTAACTTTCTTGCATCTTGTGCCTTTGAAGCCCACTCTACTTGCCCGTCCCCATTAATAAGTAGTCCCTGAATCCCAGGAGGGAAAATCTCTGAAATTCAACCCAATTCATATCAACAAGCATATATTCAGCATCTGCTATTTATAAGGCACGGTGCTAAGGGCTGGGAATTTAATGGCAAAGGAAACAGACAGGATCCTTGATCTCACAGGATTACGAAAGAGTGGCTCAGTGAGCAGTGTTGATATAGATATCAGCACATATTCATTATTTGCCCAGCACTGTGCTAAGCACTTTTCACCTATTATGTTCAATTCTCATAACAATCCCATGAGGATCATTTTCCAGCACGCCAATGAAGGTAATGAGACTCAGGGACAAAGTAACCTATCTGAAGTCACACAGCTGGTTAATAACACAGACATACTTTTGCTTTAGCCTTTGAGATTTCAAGTCTGTGTTCTTAACCAATATCCTCAGGAGCTACGAGCCCAATCTGAGAATACTCATCCATGGAATGAAATATCCTTGCTGATAATTGCTTTCTTTAAAACAGCATTAAAATTAAGTGTAATTCCTTGAAATGCACTAGAAAATAAGCTGGATAGAGGGGAAGATCAATAGATATAGGATAGATAATGATATGAGATAAAGGAATTATACTGAAATGTTAATGGTGGCATCTAGTTGGTAAATATATGGGTGCTTGCTACAAAATTCTTCCATGTTTTCTGTGCGTTTGGAAATTTCATAATAAAATGTTGGGAAAAAATAAGTTTAACTATTAATAAATATAAAATTATCATAAAAGATACAGGAGTTAGCATGCTGGCATAGAAACACTTTTTAATTTGTTTATCTTGCATTTCAAGAGAGTGAATGGAGACTAAGTACCTGTTTCTTGGTTTTTTTTTTTTTTTTCTTTTGTCGTAGTTTATTACAACCTGAATTCCTTTAAGGACAGGAGACCCATACACTAAAGGGTAAAGACATCAGCAGCAAGGTGCTGTGGCAAGTTTGCCCTCTGTGGAGGCTTTTTCTCCATTGGGTGTCCTGCCTTGCGGAATTGAATATCCACAGAAAGCCTTTGCAGGCAGCTCTAGAGATAAGACAAAGTCTTGACTGATATATAATTTATCTATCTGCCAAATAATTAATTAGTTGGTAAGTAGCTGAATTATTAGAAAGGGGGGGGGTGCTCTTCCGTCATAAGAAGAACCATATTACAAGCCTGACATTCTCTATCACTGCTGCTTGCTTAGCCAGCAGGTTGGGAGTACCGCGGGTGAGGGACCAACAAACACAGGAGACAACCTGACAGATCACGCCTCACCTTAGGAAAATGATTTGCCTCCTAATTTCTGGCTCTTTTCCATGACACCTTCTGTCCTAGAATCTCTCTCATTGTTTCTGAAGAAAATATAAAAAATAAATAAAAAACACCCAGTAGTGAACACAATTCCTCCTACCTGTGATTTCCTTC